TGTCGGTGTCTGTTTCTGTTTGTCTGTCTCTGTTTCTCTGTCTCCTGTTCTGCCTCTCCCTGACATGGTGGTCTCACTTCCTTTCCCCAAACCCCACATGCATGCACCAAATCCACGCCAGCTATAATAATGAAAACCATGTTTATTCAAAAACAAGACTGGTTATACTGCAATTGGAAAATAGTACCAGAGGAGTATCCAACCTGTGAGTCAGCTAATAAAATGAACAAGTTATTATAAAATATTATCACCAGGAACCAGACCTTTAGTGTTTATTTCCTGTGGAATAGGGCAGCCAATAAAAGGATAACATTTTACATTTAGATGGCACTTTTCACCAGAGTTCAATTTAATCCTTCTAGTCCTATAGCTGAAGAATTTCAAAAAAATAAAATAAAATAAAGGGTATCCACATCTTACTATCAGTATATGTGGAGAAAGGCAAAGATTGAGACCCAGATTAGTGTCCAGTAAACTGTTACCTGGCATTTATGGACCACTCTGAACACATAAGATATTTTGATATTCTTAAAAACTGTTTCACCCAGTTGAGTTTAGAGGCAAAGCATTTTAATTTTCTGTTCTCAAGTTCTTATTTGAAGATTCTCATCTTTGGGCCCTCCCTTCCCTACCCTTTCCCGCTCTCCATTTTCAAAGAGAGGGATACCACCACATAGAAAGGTAAAGGCAATCTCTGCCCTCAAGGAATGTACATTCTAATGGCAGAGACAACATGCTAATAACTACGTAGCTATGGAGTAGATGGAAAGTAATTTTAGAAAGGAAGGCATTAGCATGTGGTGGGCCTGGGAAAGAACTCCTGAATAAGGTAAGATTTGAACACAGACAGGAAAACTAAGAGGAAACATGGGAAACAGTCAGTGCAAAGGTATGGAGATGGGAAATCAAGTGTCATGTTAGATGAAAAGCAAGAGGGCCAGGGCAGGTAGATCATAGAGTTAATGGAGGGGAGGAAAGTGTAAGAAGATTGGAAAGATTAGAAGGTTAAGAAGAGACAAATGCTGAACAAAGGGGGTGTTAGGAAGCCACTGAGGTTCATTAAGTAGGCAAGCAACATGGTCAGATATACTTTAGAAAAATCACTTTGGCAGCTGAATGGAGGATGAAACATGGATTGAAGGACAGATATAGACTATATGCCTCAAAGCTGCTCTGACTGCAAATTACTTAATCTTAAAATCTCCCCTATGAGATCCCTACCTATAAAAGAAGTTGCCTCATGATGGGGAAGGGTATGAATCTTACCTAGTAATTCTGGGAGAGAACTGGGAGAGAACTTCCCTTTCTGCATTACAAGTCCTAAGAATGGAGATTAGAATCCAGAAAAATGAAAACTAGGGTGCTTTCATAGCAAATAACAATCAGAGACTTAACTAACAATTTTTGTGCCCTGGGCAAGGGACTGGAAACATACCCAGGTAGGAAATAGGTCCTCGGGTTAATTTCCTAAGGACTTCACAACTTCAGTACTGCAGCCCAAGAAGAGAGAATGTAGTTGGCATACTCCACCATCATTTACAGACCCTCCTCTCCCCATTTCCCATCCCCCAACTATCACTCAACAATTTCTCTTCCTTTGAAGTTCAATCTATTTTCATTTATCATACAATCCACATACTGGTGGCTGTTATCTACCAACTCCCAGGTCATTCTCTCTCCATTCTCAAAGCATTCAGTACCTAGGTCACAACATTCTTTTCTATCCCCACTCTTGCCTTAATGTTAGACACACATGGGTGTTCTCTCCAGCACCCCAAACTTTCAGTTCCTCAATCTACTCATCATACACATATGTATGTAATATATACACAATACATATATATACACATTTTATATATTTATATATGTATATAACATATATACACATAATACACATATCCAAACAATTGCCAAGTCTTTCAATTCTCATTTCCATCCTCTTTTCTCTACTCCCACAGTCACACAACTCTAATTGAGGCCTCTCATTACCTTTTGGCCAGACTATGGTAGTAGCCTCCTAACCAGTAGCTCTGCCTCTCCACTTTTGTCCAACCTCCATACACCTGCTAAAGTGATTTCCTTCCCTAAATTACAAGTCTCACTTGAATTGAAAGTCAATTGCAAGTCATATCATCACTTCTTTGATGTCATGGTCCTCTTCAAGAATGAAGGACAAACCAGAACCTGTGAGTAGTCTGAGCTACCTAAATGGGAGCCCAGCTAGCCAGTTCCAGCTGGGCAACTCAGCTCATTCTCTCCTCCTCTCTCCTCTCCTCTCCAGTCCTCTCCTCTGCTTTCCAGGTGTTCTGCCTAAAGAAAAGTAAATTTTGATGACCTAAAGCTATCTAGTTAACTTGGGGTTTATTGGCTAGGTTTCTTTCTCAAAGACTTAAACCCAACTCTGAATCTCATGGATTGGACAATAGGTCCCTGCCCAAGCACCACTTAATGCTTATTTTTTGGACCCTCCTGGCTCAGAGTGAATATAGATAGTAACTGTTTCTCTTTTGGCCACCAACTCTAAGGGTCTTACCTTCACAGTTTGATTTTTTTTTATTAAAAGGACCACCCTTTGACTCACTTCTTAAAGAAGCCAATTCACTGAATGGGCATTGCCTCACCTGAACCTGAAAAGGTCTTAGCTTAAAAGGGCCAAAGTCTCCCACCACATCCTAGGCACTCTCTAGTTGTTCTGATCGATATCAGGCCACTGGACCCAGATGTCTCTGGAGGAGAAAGTGAGGCTGGTGACTTTGCACAGCCCTTCCTCATGAAAATCAAAGTCAATTCCAAGTCAAGTCATCATCTCCTTGATGTCATGGTCCTCTTCAAGAATGAAGGGCAAACCACACAAAGTGATTTTTCCCCTAAATTACTATTTCCCCTAAATTACACACACAAACATACATACGCACATCCCAATCACCCAGTAACTATTTCGCATGTATTTTGTATGTAGCTATATTTGTACATATTGTCACTCCCAACAGAATGTAAGCTCTTTGAGAGTAGGAACTGTATCAACAGACTCCAGCATTTTCCTATTACCTTTAGCATCAAATATAAACTCTTCTGTCATTTAAAGCCCTTCACAAGTTTGCCCCAACATTCCTTTATAGCCTTATTACATATTATTTTCCTTCGTAAATTCAATTGACCATCCTTATCTGCCCTCTTTCATCCCTGTGCCCTTACATTGGCTGTCCCCAGCGATGGGCAAGTGCTCGCTCGCTCGTCCCCTCTGCTTCTTAGAATCCATATATTCCTCTTCTTATCATTGTTGTTTGTCTTTCATTCTCAAAGAGGACCATGACATCACAGAGGTGATGCCATGACAAAGTGAACTGGATTTAAGTGAGGGAGGGGTGTGCAAAGTCATCAGCCTCACTTTCTCCTCTAGAGCCATCTGGGTCCAGTGGCCAGATATCCATCAGGATGACTGGAGATAGCTCTGAAGAAGAGACCTTGGCCTTTTAAAGCTAAGGTCTTTCTCAAGTCTCAGTTTGACTGTTTCAGTGCCCATTTAGTGATTAAGGCTAGGTAAGAAATTAGGCAAAGAATGGCCTCTTCTACCTAGTCCAAAAAAAAAATCAGTCTGAGAGGAGATTGTCAGGGTTTCTGACCAAAACAGAAACAACTGCGATTTACATTCACTCTGAGCCAATAAGGGCCCAAACAATGACCAAGTGGGGCTTGGCCTGGCTCAGCTCAGACCACTTCTATGTGAGTCCTTAATTGACTTTCCCAGCTGCTAGTCTCCCCCACCTATTTACACACAAGCACCTAGCACAGTGCTTAACCCATAACAGGCACTTAATAAATGCTTTTTGATTGGTTGAAGAACTGGGTAGGACATAGCTGGGGAGCTCACTTGGTAAAGCCTTGAACAGGAAGAGTAGGGGGCAGGAAGCCTGCTCTCTAGATGTTTCCTATTTTAACTAATTACCTTGCTAATCAGGTGCTAAGTTCAGTTGTTTCTACACTGTTGAAAAACTGTAAGTATGTTCAGTTCCTCTAAATTTTGACATCATGGGACTATCATCCTGTCCAAGTTACGGCTTTCATAAAAATCTTATATAGGGCTTTGTTGTAAATAGAGGGTCTTTTCTCACAGGTCATTATCTCATTTGATTCTCATAACAACCTGGTGAGTTAGATAGTGAAAGTATTGTTAGTCCCATTTGACAGATGAGGAAACGGGCTCAGAAAAATGAAATGACCTGTGTGAGGTGACACACTAGTAAATATTAGAACTAGAATTTGAATTCAGGTTTTCTGCCTCCAACTATTCTTTTCCATGTTCTTTCCACTCATGTCTCCAGGGTAAAGTTTTTCAGCCTCCTGAAATACAATTACAGTGCCCTTACAAGTGGAGAGAATGTGGAACTCTAGTACATTGAAAAGAGGTTGCTGCTTCTCATGCCACAGTTTATTTCAGTACTACTGAGGAGCTCTTCCAGCTGAGCATTTCTCGGCATAATCTCCTGATTGAGGCAGTGTTGCATAGTAGAAAGTCACCTCAAGTCTCAGCCCTGACACATAATTTCCTTGTGAACCTAGGGAAGTCACTTAATCTCTTAATTCTGCTAGGCTATTTGAGAGAGAGAAAATGCTGATCAGTTTTGGGAGAGGGAGTTTCATTGTCAAGAAACACTTATTAAGTACCCACTGTATGCCCATCATTGTATAAGGATAAATAAAAGAGATAAAAAAAAACAGTCCCTGCTCTCAAGGAGTTTGCAGTCTAATGGGGGAGACAACCTGCAAGCAACTGTGTACAATCAAGATATATATAGGATGGGAGCAGCTAGGTGGTGCAGTAGAGAGAGCACTGGCCTTGGAGTCAGGAGGACCTGAGTTCAAATCTGGCCTCAGACACTTGACACTGTGTGAAGCTGTGTGATCCTGGGCAAGTCACTTAACCTCATTGCCTAGCCAAAAAAAGAAAAGAAAAGATATAGATAGATAGATAGATAGATGATAGATAGATAGAGGACGAATTGGACATCAGCTCAGAGAGAAGGCACTAGCATTAAGGGAATCAAGAAAGGCTTCTTACAGAAGGTGGAATGTCTTGCATGAACAGCAAGCTGGTCAATGTCCTGAGATGGAAGAGAACATGGAGAGGTGCAAGGTGTGAGACAACTGGAAAAGTGGCATTTTTTTTTTAAATCCTGGAGGTAATAGGGAGTCACTGGAAGTTTATTGAATAGAAGTGCTGATGTGATCAAACCTTCCCTTTAGGAAGATGGATTTGATAGCTGAATAGAGGATGAACTCTTTCTGTAGAGTTGTCCCTCCCCTCCCAAATTGCTAGCAACCAGAACAGCATTACATACGCAGTAAACTACACCAAGTTTGTCTTTTAACATCTGTTTCCCAGATACATGCTATTGCTCTCCCTGGACAAGCTGATGACCATCTATCTCCATCTAAAGTTGTCTAGAGAGTATTACTCTTTCATAGATTTGTGCCCAAGGATTTCCTTCCTTGATCACCACCGTTGAATGGTACAGATTCATTTTGATTAGGTCCTCCTTGTCATTTTCAGCCTGCTTCTTTCAGGATGAACTTGAGGTAGGTTCTGTGTGATCTTCAGAAGAGATTCCCAACCCCAAAACTGGTTGACTTTCTGGGAAAGAAAAAGAGAAAAGCATATTAACCTAGATGGCCATACTCATTGCGCTGTCTAGCTCTTGTCAAAGCTACACTTCTTTGACTCCCAGGACTTAAATGAAAGGGCATATGGATATTCTGAACCCCTGAAACATAGCTCACTGTGTCCAAATGAGACCTCAGCCTTTTGCAGACAAAATGGACAATTTATGTCATCCATAAACCTAAAGGTCTCGGCTCATTTTCCTTTTCTTTTCTGAAATCTCAAATAGTCATGCCAGTAAAAACAAGCAAGCATTCCCATTTTATGGGACCCTGGGAGGAAACCATACTTATCTGTGGATGCTTTGAGGTTTAAGAATGAAGTGTTCCTTGAAAAAGTAGAAGTGCTTCAAAGTGAAGAAAAAAAAGATCTGAAAAAAAGAGAAGAGATCCTGGTCTGTGTAGACAGGATGGTAGAAGAATGTAACCCAGAAGAATAAGGGGCAGGTGTAGGATCACTTGAAATTTACTAACAATTCACCTAGAAGTACTGATTTCTTGGACATCAGCTATCAGTCAGGGACATCTCTGCTATCAAGAAACTGGGGAAGGGGCAAGGAGAGGGAGAGAGAGAAAAATTTGGAACTCAAAATCTTATATAAATGAATGCTGAAAAGTATATATGTAATTTGAAAAAATAAAATACTTTCTACAAAAAAAAGCTGTGAAGTGATTTGAACACCAAAAAAAAAAAAAGAAAGAAAAGAAATTGGGGAGAGAAAGGGTAGTTTGAGTACTTTATGAGCAAATAGAGAGTCAAATAATGATAAATGAAAAATTGACAGATGGAAGGGTGAAAGGCAATAATATGGTGAATTTTCATTAATTTTGAACTGCCTAGAAGAAAATGAAAAGAGCTATAACTAGGAACTCTTTGACTTGGGACAAAAAGATTGGAGGCAGAATCAGGGGCCAGTTTGATGGTGGTTACATGATAGTTATATAAGGACAGTCTAATTGCAGATACAATCAATCTAATCGAGGTCATCCCTTCTATCAGAGTGTTGGACTGAAAATTGAAGACTGAGTAACTGGAAAATTGAAGACTGAGTAACTGGAAAAGGTAGTAGCAAAGAACCAACAAGAAGAGGTCATGTCAGACTAACCTCATTTCCCTTTTTTTAACAAGGAAAGACTTGTAGATCAGGAAGATGCTGTAGAAACCTTTTACCTAGATTTCAGCAAAACATTTAACAAAGTCACATTGCTTGTGGCTAAGTTGCAGAGAGGAGGGCTAGACAATAGGATAGACAGGTTCAGAACTGACTGAATGATTGGACTCAAAAAGTAGTCATTAACTGTTCATGAGATCATAAAATTAGATATGAAAGAAGCCTGAGAGAGTCATCTATTCAATTCACTCATTTTAAAGAGGAGGAAACTGAGACCCAGAGAGGTGAGGTGACATAGGTTGTAAGTAGTAAAAGCTGGGATTTAATTTCAAGTTCTCTGACTCCAAATTCAGCATTCTTCCCATCATACCATTTTCCTCTCACCCAGCTGCACTCCTCTGACCTTTTCCATTACACTCCTGCACCAGGTATTTTCCCTTCCCTCCCCCTTTTTGCTTCCTTTTGTATGTTGTTCTCTCCCTTTAGAATGTAAACTCGTACAGGCAGCAACTGGCTTTCCTTTTTGTATTTATATTCTTAGCACAGGGCATGACTGAATCAACTGAATAAGGTATTTGCAATACCTTAGACAGCTGGACCTCAGTATCATCACTATCATGACATGATTCAAGTCAACAAATATTTCTTAAGCACCTACTGTGTGCCAAGCCCTATGCTAAGTCCTAGGGATACAAAGAAAGGAAAAAAGAAACAGTTCCTGCCCCCAAGGTGCTCACAATGTAATCAACAGACACTTTAACAGGGATTTATTAAATACTCACTATGTGCAGAGCACTATAGCAGGCATCAAGACGCCCAAGATAGGTAAAACATGGTTCCTGTCCTAATGGAGGTTACAATCGAATAAATGGATTCTAGCCTGCGAATGTAATACTTCTGGTTATAACAAATAGCAAGGGAAGCAACATGATAGAGTAAAAGGAGTCCTAGTTCCAATGGAGTTTGAGGACCTGCATTCAAATCCACCTCTGAGATTTATCAAATAGGTGGTGAAGTGGATTGAGTGCTGGATTTGGAATCAGGAAGACCTGAATTAAGATCCTACCTCTGCCACTAAGCTGCATGACCCCGAGTAAATCGCTGAAGCTCTGTTTGCCTCAGTTTCCTCAATCGTAAAATATGACTAATAATAGCACCTACTTTACAAAGTTGTTGTGAGGATCAAAAGAAATAATATTTTAAAGTGCTTTGCAAATTTCAAAACACTACATAAATTTTAGCTATTATTATTATTATCACTACCACTTCTCAATGTGTGATCTTGGGAAAGTCACTTAATTTTCCTGGAACTCAGTTTCCTCATATGTAAAACGAACGAGTTTAGACTATGGCCTGTAAACTCCCTTTCAATTCTAAATCTATGATCCTGCAATATTATTTCCCTATTACATTAATTATTTAGGACTGAGGTTTGAAAAATTGATTTCTCATGTCAAATTCTATAGAGAGAAAGCTATCTATAACATTCTGGAAGAATCTCTTTGTGGAAGACTGTAGACCTTCAAATAGAAATGTTTCAAATTGTTTTGAATTATTGTGATATTACCATTAGTTTGAAACAAAAGCAGACCTGGGATTTAGCTCAAGAAATGTGCTTTAGAATAATGTAATTATGAGAGGAAGGAAGGAAGTAGACAGAGTTAGGACAAGAAACTCCTTTATTGCATAAGGAAATGGTCTTCGGTTTTGTTTAGTAAAAGATTTACAAAGACGTTCTGTGGCCTAGTCTTGCTGTTCCTTTTTGGCATCTCTAACTGGGAAAGTGTTTGTTGTATTTAATATCCTGGACATTTTTCATACCTGCTTCCTTCAAAGAGACTTGTGGTTTCAAGTCATAGAATTGTTAATCTAGACCTAGAATAACAACAATAGCAATAATAATAATAGCTGACATTTATATAGCACTTACTATGTGCCAGGTATTAAGCTTAGAGCTTTACCATTTGATCCTTACAATAAGCTTGGGAGGTGGGTGCTATTATTATGCCCATTGTATAGATGGAGAAACTGAGGCAAATAGAGGTTAAATGATTGCTCAGGATAACACAGCTAGTAAATGTCTAAGGTCAAATTTGAACTCAGGTCTTCCTGACTCCTGTCACTTAGTGGTTTAAAGATAGGCTCACAAAAAAGCATTAATCTGTATTATTAACATTTTCTCTATTACTTTCTTAAGTCTAGACAATCAATAAATCAAGCCCTGATTTGGTGAGTTTGCTCATTGCCAAGGTGTAAATGCTCACGCTGGTAATTTAACAATTGGTGGTTGCAAACCAGTTAGACCTGGCTCCAGCACACCCTGGACAAGAGTCCATGTAGTCTAATCCCTTCCAAATGAGGAAACCGAGGCTCAGAAAGGTTAAATGCTTTTGCAGGTAATAAAGGGCAAAGCTCTGGCTCAAAAGTGACATCTTTTCCACAAAACATTCTGCCTAAGATTTGCTGTGTACACTCCAAGTCTGACTCAGTCTGCCTTTCTCTTTTTCTCTAATTGGGAAGGTGCTTATAATACTATTTTTTTAATTTCTTTTTTTTTTTAAATATTAGGCAATTGGGGTTAAGTGACTTGCCCAGGGTCAGATTGCTAGTAAGTGTCAAGTGTTTGGTCTGAGTCGGGATTTGAACTCAGGTCTATCCTGACTTCAGGGTCAGTGCTCTATCCACTGCACCACCTAGCCGCCCCCTGTTTATAACACTATTAAGTGGATGTCCTGGCCATCCTTCATACTTGCTTTTCCTGAAGAGACGTGCAGTTTCAAGTCATAGGATCATTAAGCTAGATCTAGAATAATGATGATGATGATGATGATGATGATGATGATGAAGATGCCAACAATGAAGATGATAGCTAGTAGTGGTATTCTGGTAAACGCTGTTTTAAAATAATATCTTATTCTCCCTCAGTTACATGTAAAGACAATTTTTAACATTCATTTAAATTTTTTTTTGAGTTCCAAATTTTCTCTCTCCCTCCCTCACCTCCACCCAAGACAATAAGCAATTTGATACAGGCATACTTGTTCAATCATACAAAGCATATTACCATATTAGTCATGCTGTGAAAGAAGACAGACCCAACAATGGGAAAAACACACAAAAAATACCGAAAGCGAAAAATAGTATGATTCCATTTGGGATTTTCTTGGCAAAGATACTGGAGTAGTTTGCCATTTCCTTCTCCAACTCATTTTACAGATGAAGAAACTGAGACAAAGTCATGATTTACCCAGGATCACACAGCTATTAAGTATCTGAGGCCATATTTGAACTCAGGAAGACTCGTCTTCCTGACTTCAGGCCAAGCACTCTATCCACTGGACCACCTACCTGCCCATATCTGGACAGTAGACAGGACAAAGCTGTTCCAGGAACTAAGGTGATGCCTGCGTATAAGAGAATTCCTATGGTTCAGGAATGGGATGTCCTGGATTGAGGAGAAGTATTGCAAAACTTTGAAAGGTACTCTCAGGAAGCATACTGTTACTCCTGCACTGCAACTCCCTTGAGATACGATTGTACTGGCCACTAAAGAATCATAGGTTTCATAAAGATAGCAAGCTTTTAAGGCAGAATTCAAACTCAGGTCTTCCTGACTCCAAGTTTAGTACTTAACCAACATTAAGTACTTACTACATGCCATATACAGGCAAATAGTTGGCACAGTAGAGTGTTGGGTCTGAAGTCAGGAAGACTCATCTTCCTGAGTTCAAATCTGGCCTTAGACACTAACTGTGTAATTCTGGGCAAGTCACTTCACCCTGTTTATCTTAGTTTCCTCATCTGTAAAATGAGCTGAAGAAGGAAATGGCAAACCACTCCTTTATCTTCACCAAGAAAACCC